CCGCTGAGTCGGCCGGTTGCAGTGTCCCTGGCTGACCCCTCTGGGGGGCCGGTCCTGGCTCGCTTCTCCACTGTCCTCCCGTGTCCGGCGGCCCCCTCTGGCACCCTGACTGGTCTCTACCTCCCCTCGTTCTCGACGAACTTGGTGAGTGGTGCTGACCTCCAGGATGCGGGTGTCCACCAGTTCACCCCTGCTCGTCAGCGGGTGACCCACTGCACAGAGGAGGATACAGGTCGCCACCTGGCTACGTTTACACGTCGGCCAGGGTCGAGCCTGTACACACTGACCACTGCTTCTCCTCCAGGTGCTGAGTCTGGTAGGGTCCCTTCGTCTAGTCAGGTGTTTGCTGCAGCGTCCAGGTCTGGTCCTGAGTCTGCCCCCTGCTCGTGTCGTCGTCTGTCTCACGAGACCCTCCTCTGGCACCACCGCCTTGGCCACCCCTCTCTGCTTCGGCTCAGAGGCATGGCCTCGCGAGTCCTTGTGTCTGGTCTTCCCCGGTCTCTCCCTCCCCTTCCTCCGGGCCCTGGCCCCACCTGTGTCCCCTGTGTCGAGGGGCGCCAGCGTGCTGCCCCTCACTCCTCCCAGTTTCCTCCCACAGAGGCCCCGTTGCAGACGCTTCACATGGACGTGTGGGGCCCAGCCCGCGTCCGTGGACAGGGTCAGGAGCGCTACTTCCTGCTGGTGGTTGACGACTACTCGCGTTACACCACAGTCTTCCCCTTGCGCAGCAAGGGTGAGGTCACTGGGGTGCTGATCGACTGGATCCGCGCAGCTCGTCTCCAGCTTCGGAGGAGCTTTGGCTCTGACTTCCCTGTTTTGCGTCTGCACTCGGACAGAGGTGGAGAGTTCTCCTCCGGCCTCCTGAGTGCCTACTGTCGTGTGCGAGGCATCCGTCAGACCTTCACGCTTCCGGACTCACCGCAGCAAAATGGGATTGCTGAGCGTCGCATTGGCATGGTCATGGACGTCGCTCGTACGTCCATGATGCATGCGGCTGCTCCCCATTTTCTGTGGCCGTTTGCGGTCAGGTACGCTGCGCACCAGATCAACCTCCACCCCAGGGTCTCTCGACCGGAGACCTCCCCAGCCCTGCTGTGGACGGGGAAGGTTGGCGATGCGTCGGCGTTCCGGGTCTGGGGATCTCGGGCGTTTGTTCGCGACCTGTCTGCGGACAAGCTGTCCCCTCGTGCTTCTCCCTGCGTCTTCCTGGGGTTCCCCCCCGACGCCCCTGGGTGGCAGTTTTACCACCCCACCTCTCGACGTGTTCTGTCCTCCCAGGACGTCACGTTCGACGAGTCGGTACCCTACTACCGCCTCTTCCCCTACCGCACTCCGTCCCTCCCCCCACCCCCGCTCTTCTTGGTACCAGGTCCCCCCCAGGTAGTCCCCCTCCCCCCTCAAGGTCCTGCCCCTTCAGGTGTGTCCCAGGTAGACGCGGTCGAGCCTGTCGAGGTCACTGGTGACTCTGGTGCTGCTGCGGGAGCTGAGCCTGGGGGTGCGGAGTCTGGGGGTGCTGAGCCTGGAGGTGCCGAGTCTGGGGGTGCTGAGCCTGGGGGTGCTGAGCCTGGAGGTGCTGTGCCTGGGGGTGCTGAGCCTGGAGGTGCCGAGTCTGGGGGTGCTGTGCCTGGGGGTGCTGGGCCTGGGGGTGCTGAGCCTGGGAGTGCCGTGCCTGGAGGTGCTGTGCCTGGGGGTGCTTCGTCTCGCCGGGAGCCACTCTCCCCACAGGAGCTGCGTGAGTGGTTTGCCGGGCGCTGGAGGCGTGCTGCTGGTGCTGGTGGTTCTTCGGCTGCAGAGGGCACTGCTGCTGCGCGCCCCGCCGGCGCTCGTACTGTGGGTGCTGGAGCTGCTGAGTCTGAGAGTTCTCCTGGAGCTGGTCCTGCTGAGGGTGTTGGCGCTGAGCCTGCCGTTGGCGGCCCGACTGACAGTGCTCCTGGTGCTGCGGCTGGAGGTTCTGGTGCTGCTGGAGGTGCTGCTGGAGTGGGTGCTCCTGCCGGGGCTGCTGGTGCTGTTCCTGCTGTTTCTAGCGTCGCCGCGCGGCCCCGACCGTACTTCGTTCCGCTCCTGCAGCAGGTTCTTGGTCTTACACCTCCTCCTCCTCCCTTAGAGGGTCCGCAGCCTGTCCGGTCACAGCCACAGCTACAGCCTGCCTCCCCTTTGCCTGCTCCTTCTCCCTACGCTGGTCCGACTGGAGGTCTTACTGAGCGTCGTGAGCCTGCGTCTCGTCCTGTGTCGCCTGTTCGTACTGAGCGCGCTAGTGGTCGCGGGTCGCGTCAGCGTCCTCCTCCTGTCCCTGGCACGCACCGGATGTCACTGCGTCCGTCCACTGCTCCTTTGCGTGCCCCTTTGCCTTCTCCTCCTGCTTCCTCTCTTCCTGCTCTTGCCGACCCGGAGTCGGACGCTCTTCGTGCTGCCAGTCCTACTGTCACGCGTCTCCTGGCTACTGCTGTCACTGACCCCTCCTTCGAGTCGTCTGCTGCGTCTGCCCTTGTCACTGAGCTTGTCGACTTTGCTGCGCGCTGTCGTCTAGACTACGCTGCTCGTCTTGTCACTGAGTCTGAGTCCGCCTGTCCTCCGTCCGTCGGGGGTGAGTGTGCCCTTGGCACGGACGTCCTTGAGGACAGGCAGGAGGAGTTCCAGTGTCTGGCCGCCGCTTCACCTCGTCTCGCGTCTGTACTGCTAGCCCCTGAGGGAGACCCGGATGCACCAGACATCCCGACTCCGCGCTCTTACGCGGAGGCGATAGAGGGTCCCTACTCCTCTCAGTGGCAGGCAGCTATGGATGCAGAGATGGCTTCCTGGAAGTCCACAGGCACCTACGTTGACGCTGTTCCCCCTCCTGGGGCAAACATCGTCAGTGGCATGTGGATTTTCAGGGTGAAACGGCCGCCGGGTTCTCCGCCTGTCTTCAAGGCGCGTTACGTGGCTCGTGGCTTCAGTCAGCGGCAGGGGGTTGACTACTTTCAGACCTTCTCCCCCACCCCGAAGATGACCACTCTTCGGGTTCTGCTACACGTTGCTGCTCACCGTGACTACGAGCTGCACTCTCTCGACTTCAGCACAGCTTTCTTGCAGGGCAGCCTGCACGAGGAGATCTGGCTGCGTCGCCCACCTGGCTTCACTGGGTCTTTCCCTCCTGGTACCCAGTGGAGTCTCCGGCGTCCAGTCTACGGTCTCCGCCAGGCGCCACGTGAGTGGCACGACACACTGAGGACTACGCTCGCGGCACTTGGGTTTGCTCCTTCCACTGCCGACCCGTCGCTGTTTCTGCGCACCGACACCTCTCTGCCGCCGTTCTACATCCTCGTGTACGTCGACGACTTGGTCTTTGCCACAGCTGACACTGCTGGACTCGCCTACGTGAAGTCCGAGCTGCAGAAGAGACACACGTGCACTGACCTGGGTGAACTGCGCAGCTACCTTGGCTTGCAGATCACCCGGGACAGAGCACGCCGCACCATTACCCTGACTCAGTCACACATGGTGCAGCAGGTCCTTCAGCGCTTCGGCTTCACGTACTCCTCGCCTCAGGCCACTCCTCTGCCTACTCGCCACTCGCTCTCAGCTCTGCCTTCGGATGAGTCCGTAGAGTCGAGTGGCCCGTTTGCAGAGCTTGTTGGCTGCCTCATGTACCTGATGACCTGCACACGACCTGACCTCGCATACCCTCTTAGCATTCTCACACGCTTTGTTGCTCCTGGGAGACACCGACCAGAGCACATGGCTGCAGCGAAGAGGGTGTTGCGCTACTTGTGCAGTACGTCGGGCATGGGGCTAGTGCTTGGAGGGCGCAGTCCAGTGGTCCTCACTGGGCACGCAGACGCTTCTTGGGCTGACGACCAGGCTACGCAGCGGTCGTCACAGGGTTACACCTTCAGCCTTGGTTCCGGCTCTGTCTCGTGGCGGGCTACCCGCTCGTCTTCTGTTCTCGGCTCCAGTTGTGAGGCTGAGATCTACGCTGGGGCCATGGCTGCACAGGAGTTACGCTGGCTCACCTACCTGCTGACCGACCTTGGAGAGCAGCCTCGTTCTCCTCCAGTCCTGTACGTAGACAACAAGGCCCTGCTGGCCTTGTGTCGAGAGCAGCGACTGGAGCACAGAACGAAGCACATTGCTCTTCGCTACTTTCTTGCTCGTGAGCTACAGCAGCGTGGACAGCTGCGACTTGCGTACGTGGCCTCTGAGGCCAACACTGCTGATGTCTTCACCAAGGCACTTGCGCCTTGTGATCATCAGCGTTGCTGCACGCAGTTGGGTCTTGTGCCTGTATTGCCTCACTTGCTCTCCTCTTGACCTTGCTTGTACTTTCGCATATATATACTCTTGCTCTTGTATATCTCTATATATGATCTTGCATGTGAACTGGCCTTGTGGCCTTTGAACTTGTGCTCGGAATGCGTGGTGACTTTGTGATCCACCCTGAGCTTTGCTTTGCTTTGCTTGACCGGTCTTGTGACCCCTTGTTCTCCCCCACTTTGCCTATGGGGGTGTGTCGGAACTTATAGCTTACTTGTTTCTGTAGGCTATAGTGGGGTATCCCATAGGGGGTACAACCCAATTAGGGTTTCCTATTTGTACTCACCTCGTTCATAGTCATTCCACTTCTCGTTCGTACTTTCTCAAAGGCCATTTGGCCTTCACCCACGTTTTCATTTTCGAACTTTTGATTTTCAAGTTCCCAGCCCCCCCCCCCACCCTAGATTGTGCTATGATGTTGTTCTTATGATGTAAAATGCTTGGACGATTAATCTTGTCCTTGACCAGTTTAAATGAGACGTTGCATTTGCAAGGCAAATCGCAAGTTTTCACAATGAATGTTATTCTTCCGCTCAGAGCACAATTCAAGAATGGATTAGAAAAGAGCCGCAGCCACCACTGTTCTTAAATTTGCATTCTGAGCTGATAGTGCATGTGCATCCTTGCCAGAAGGGCTTGCGAAAAGGTAAAACAGCATCAGTAAAGGAACCCCAAAGAAGCCACACCGAAGACCCCAATATTTCAATTTAGATCAGAAGGGCAATGACGGAGCAGAGCAGGGCCACAGCCATCACAGCACTGGCACTGTCACTGTTGAAATCCGATGCTTGTGCAGCCTTGCCAGGGGTGGTAGGGGGTGAAGCAGCAGCGGCAGGAGGAGGGAGGGCAGCAGCAGGTGCAGGTGTTGCGGGGGAGGAGAGCAGTGCAGATACGGTGTCCGAGGGAATGTCTGCCAGAGATGCCTGGGTCCTGCCAAGGGTTGAGGGAAAGGGGTGGTGCGCAGGTGAGGGGAGAGAGGGGGGATGAGGAAGGGGGGACAACAAGGCGCAGGTGCGTGACAAGGTGGAGCAGCAGGGAGTGGGGGCAGGCCGGTTTGCAATGCTGCTGAGTGTGAGGGGCGTGTGGAGGCAAATGTAATTCTGCAGAGCTGGCAGGTGGGGATGAAGTGTGAGTGCGTGTTGAGACGGTGTGGCAGGGTAGGGTTGTGGTGTGGTGCGGTGTGGTGTGGTGTGTATGGTGTGGTGTGGTGTGGTGTGGTGCAGTATGGTGTGATGTGGTGTGGTGTGGTGTGGTGTGGTGTGGTGTGGTGTGGTGTGGTGAGCACTTACTCAGCCAGACAGCCATGGGACTTTAATGAGCGTATTGGTGCCGAAGGTGATCTTGCAGGGCTGGTAGGTGGGAATGAAGTGTGAGTGTCAGGGCAGGGCTGTGGTGTGGAGTGGTGCAGTACGGTCCTGTCTCAACTTACTCAGCTGGGCAGCCATTCAGGAATTTCATGGGCACGTTGGCACCGAATGTGATCTTGCAGGGCTGGTACGTGGGGATGAAGTTGGTTCCGCAGGCGTAGAATTTGGCGAGCGTAGGGCTGTTAGGGTCCATGCCAAGGGTGTCATTCTCGTATGATGCACACATGTCATAACACATATCCATCTCTGGTGGGGGAGAGGTGCAGGAGGGAAAGAGGGGAGGTGCAAGCAGTAGGGCTGTTGGGGTCCATGCCAAGAGTGTCGTTCTAGTATGATGCACACATTTCGTAACACATATCCATCTCTGGTTGGGAGAGACAAGGGGGCGGAGTAGTGGCTGATGGGAAAGGTGGGAGGGTGGAAGCACAACGTGGGGCTGTTGGGGTCCGTGCCAAATGTGTCGTTCTTGTATGATGCACACATGTCGTAACACATATCCATCTCTGGTGGGGGAGAGGTGCGGGAGGGAAAGAGAGGAGGTTTCAGTAGGGCAGTTGAGGTCCATGCCGAGAGTCTCGTTCTCATTTGTCGCAGCACATGTCAATCCCTGGTGGGGGAGGAAAAGAGAAAAGGGGATGCGACGAACATTAGTAGAGTTGTATTTTTGTGCGATGCAAATATGCCGTCACATGCGTTGAGATAGTCAATGCACATCTCGGCCTCTGTGGATACCTCTAGCAGAGAGGCGATGGGTCCCCACAGAGACGATGGGTCCCTTAACAAAGTGCATGGGGAGAAGAAGCATTACCTTGGCCCTGACGTGCCGGGTAGTACACGAGGTAGTCAATGCACATCTCGTCCTCCGTGGATGGCCCTCCCAGCGTCACCTGCGTGAAGCAAGGGGTGGAGAGGGGCAGAGATGGGCAGAGATGGGTAGAGATGGGCAGAGATGGGCAGAGATGGGCAGAGATGGGCAGAGATGGGCGGAGATGGGCAGAAATTGGTGGAGACAGGCGGAGATGGGTTGAGATGGGCGAAGAGGGACAGTGGGTGGAGGAGTCCACTGTAAAAGGGGGGCTTGTCACCACACAGCGAAGCAGACACTGATAAGTGAGTTACTTTTGAGTTGGCTCAAAAGTCACCTCGCTGAAAGGGGGGAAAGTTTTGAGGCGGCTCAAAACTGGGCTTGTCACAATACAGCGAAGCAGACACTGATAAGTGAGCGACTTTTGAGTTGGCTCAAAGACACTGTGAGAGGCGAGGCAAGTATGTTGAAGTGGGGGAGGAGTCCCAGCCACAGGTGGCATTGACATGCAGTAACGTTGGAGGGTATCCAGTTGCTAAGAGGCACGTATGTTGGTGGGAATGGGGGGCGGCACGTACGTTGGTGCGAGCAGTGGAGTCCCACACACACGAGGTGCGCAGCTCGTCTCCTGGCAACAGCTCAAACTCCGGCGTGGTGGGGATGGTCTGCTGCGATGCAAAGTCGCTGCGATGGTGTGAGAGGAGGAGGGTGGGGAAGAATGGAAATACGGAGGGAGGGAGGGAGGGCTTTAGTCAGCTCGTCCCCTGGCAGCAGCTCAAACTCCAGTGGGGTGGGGATGGTCTGCTGCAATGCAAAGTCGCTGTTGCGGTGTGATGGGGGGTGGGGAAGAGTGGAAAGAGGGAGGGAGGGAGGGAGGGGTGGAAGGCTCTTGTGAGCTCGTCCCCTGGCAGCAGGTCGAACTCTGATGTGGTGGGACGTGTGGTGTGCTCCGAGTTGCAGTGACTGGACTGAAAAGGATTCGTTACAGCAGGCAAACGGGGGATGACGGTTGGGTGAGGAGTGGCGAAGGGTGTTAAAAGGGTCGGATGGGACTCACTAGTAGTCCGGTAGTTTCTGAGAATTCTCAATAACCAACTTGTCTCGAAAGGGTTTCTTCGAAGGGGACTCACTAATAGTCCTGGCGGTTGATAGTTGCGACCTTGCTGCCCCGCCTGAACACATCCGTGTACAACTACAGTGGGGGAGGGTGGATGGGCAATTGGGCAGCATGGGGAGATGGGCAGCATGAGGAGATGGGCAGCATGGGGAGATGGGCACAAGAGAGGGCGAGTTTGTTGTGCAATTTCCATTGACGCCACGCCACAAAACGTGAAAGAAGGAGTGTTTTGAGACGTCTCAAAACGTGAAAGGAGTGTTTTGAGACGTCTCAAAACGTGAAAGAAGGAGTGTTTTGAGACGTCTCAAAACGTGAAAGAAGGAGTGTTTTGAGACGTCTCAAAACGTGAAAGAAGGAGTGTTTTGAGACGTCTCAAAACGTGAAAGAAGGAGTGTTTTGAGACGTCTCAAAACGTGAAAGAAGGAGTGTTTTGAGACGTCTCAAAACGTGAAAGAAGGAGTGTTTTGAGACGTCTCAAAACGTGAAAGAAGGAGTGTTTTGAGACGTCTCAAAACGTGAAAGAAGGAGTGTTTTGAGACGTCTCAAAACGTGAAAGGAGTGTTTTGAGACGTCTCAAAACGTGAAAGAAGGAGTGTTTTGAGACGTCTCAAAACGTGAAAGAAGGAGTGTTTTGAGACGTCTCAAAACTTTCCATTGACGCCACGCCACAAAACGCCATGCCACAAAACGCCATGCCACATCCCCTCTCCACCTGACCCCTTAACAGTCTTCTTATGTCTCACCTGTCGTGTCAGCATGTGCATGTACAACACAGGGCCACATGCAACACAGGGCCACATGCAACACAGTGCCACATGCAACACAGTGCCACATGCAACACAGTGCCACATGCGCGATGATCCTCCCCACATGCACTACTCTATTCACCCAACTCTGCCTCGTCTGCTATATATAACCTGTTGCCCCAGCATGTGCAGGTGCAGCATGGACCCAATGATCCTCACACTCTCGTTTCCTCAACACTCACTCCACTGCACTCTCACGGCCCTACCTGCTGCCCCACCACACTCTCACGGCCTTACCTGCTGCCCCACCACACTCTCACGGCCTTACCTGCTGCCCCACCACACTCTCACGGCCTTACCTGCTGCCCCACCACACTCTCACGGCCTTACCTGTCGCCCCACCACACTCTCACGGCCTTACCTGCTGCCCCACCACACTCTCACGGCCTTACCTGCTGCCCCACCACACTCTCACGGCCTTACCTGCTGCCCCACCACACTCTCAGGGCCTCACCTGTCGCCCCAGCGTGTGAAGGTGCAGCACAGACCCAATGATCTTCACACTCTCATTCCCGAACAAAAGGCAGTGCACTCGCCCGGGCACGTGCTGACCACCGTCCAGTGCACCTGGCCTCTGTAACAGTCTTCTCGCGGCCTTACCTGCCTCCCAAGAGTGTGAAGGTGCAGCACAGACCCAATGATCTTCACACTCTCGTTCTGGAACACGGCAGCAGTGCACTCGCCCGGGCACGTGCTGACTTGCGTCCACGAGGGCATGGCGGGGGGGATGCGGATGAGGTACTCGTATGCCACGGGGCCCGTGAGCATGATGGACGCGTCCATGGGACGGAGGGACGGGGCGAGCTTCAGGTACAGCCCGGAGTTGTCGATCAGATCAGTGCGGCCCTTGGGATTGGTGAAATGCACCTGAGGAGGGAGGGTAAGGCGCGGGGAGGAGGGCATGGCAGGGGGAATGCGGATGAGGTACCTCATAGGGCACGGGGCCCGTGAGCATGATGGACGCGTCCATGGGACGGAGGGATGGGGCGAGCTTTAGGTACCGCCCGGAGCTGTCGACGAGATCAGCTCGCGCCTTGGGGTTGGTGAAATGCACCTGAAAGGGGGAAAGGTGGGGTGCGGAAGGGCATGGATTAGGGAAGGTTTTGAGGTGGTTTGGAAGGGTCTGGGAATCATAACGGAACAAGGATGGTACTCCTGCGTGTGGTAGGTAGGTAGGTAGGAGTCAGATTTGTGTAGGCATGCGGGTAGAAGGAAGGAAAGCAGATGCGTGACATACAGCAGTTTTGCACCGCACTGTACCCACCTGCAGCACGAACTTGGTGAAGTATCCAGGGCCAATGGGATATCCGACATTGGGCGGGTAAGTGAAGGGTCTGCCGCCCACAGCCCACATGGCGACAGTGATGCCACATGGGTTGTCGTGCAGGCAGTCAAAGTCGGCCCCAGCGCCCTTGAGATTGCCGTACTCCTTGCTGTGAGGGGGCCGGGGTTGGGGAGGAAAGAAGAACAGCTTCGGAAACAGAGTTTGCTGGCAAAGCCAGTCCCTGCGCCCTTGAGATTGCCGTACTCTTTACTGTGGGGGGCCAGGATGGGGAGGAGAGAAAGACAGCTTGAGCCGTGGCAACGAGATATTTCGCTAGAATAGAACTGAGATAAAAGCAGGGGAGACTTATCCGTTGTCTCCCCTGCTTTTATCTTGAAGATGATGTTGGAGGGAAGGGGGGCGAAGATATTTGCTTACGCTTTGCAGCCGTAGATGATGGCATGATGGACGGCTGAGATGTCAGTAGAGTTGAGCACGATACCCCACTCAACCGCATGAGTCTTGGTCTTGAGAGCAATGTCCACCACCTGAGGACATGATCTCGGGGCGCAAATGGGTGCAGATCGGTGCAGATGGGTGCTGAAAGGGTCTCGCGGGCATGGGAAAGGGTTCTACTGTGTCACACAAGAACGAAAGAGGCACACGAGGTGGCATTCGGGGGCATTGGGTGAGTGCATTGTACCCGGAGAACACATGCACTATGATACGCGCATGGAAGAAGGCGCACGGCCCGGAGCCGTCCAGCAACGCACTATACCGCGACGCACCTTGCAGCGATAGGTCGTGTGGTTCGTTGGCACCCGGTAGTTGGTGAACGTGAAATTCAGCCTGCTCTCCTGCGCCACCTGCTGCTGCTGCTGCTTCCCTGCCTGCTGCTGCGCAGCCAACCTCCCAAATGCTCGGAGCGAATCAGACGCAGTGGACGCGGACGCGGAGGCGGAGACGGAGGAGGAGGCGGAAGGGGGAGGCGTGGGCGCGATAATGGAGGGGCCGGGGGCAGGAGCGAGCACGAGAGAGGACGCGCCGCGGTCGGAGCTGTGGTAGCTGACGTCAGCCGTGGCGCCCAGCGCCCAGATGACGTTGTGAAGCTTCCCGGGAACTATGGGACGGTCGTTGCAGTCGCCCGTGTCCAGCTTGCGCCACACGTGCACGGTGGTCCACGTGTCGCCCGTGGATTGGTTCTTGGTCTGACTGCCGCCCAGAATGTGCCAGTCCTGCTTGTCGTCGAGTGCGATTCCGGCGGTCGTCTTGTTGAAGATGAAGCGATCCGTCGCATACACGCGGGCTTCGGACTGTGCGACCCATGCGACGAGGGCATCTGGTAGCACACGAATGCAGCGTGCAGAGAGAGCGAGATGCCCGGGAATGAGGGTTTAGGGTGACCAGATGATGAATCACTCAATGATGAAGATTACAGGGAAGTGAGCGACTCAATCGGCGAGTGCAAGGGAATGTGAGGTAAGTAGGTGAGTCGTCCAATGCAAATCCTTAGGCGGACTCAGAATGTATGCGTTCTATAATGCGGCTCCCACCCATATGCTACAGCCAGATCGGAAATCAATCATGGATAGTAACTAACATGAAGAAGCAGTATTATCGCACCCCACTGGATCGTAGGAACTTTCGTACCTGAGCCCACCATGGAGCCAATCTCGGAGATGCCTATAGCGAACCATCCCGTAGTTTTTGCATTCAATGCCATGTGAATGGTCGCGTCGCTGCTGTTGACGGTCCAATAGAGCTCGAAGCGCGGATCCAGCAACGCAACATTGGAGTAGGTGGAAAGCGACTCGGGAAGGGAAGCCGCGTCATCCGCGGAGGCAGAATGGCTACTCATAACCGCCGTGAACGCCGCCAGCAATAGGAGTAGACAACACGAGGTCTGAGGCGAAACTTCGCAGCCGTGCCGCCTGTGCGCCATCGTTCCAAGCGTCTTTTCTTAAGGACTCCTTAAGAGTCAGGGAGGAGATGGAACAACCTCTTGTCGTCTGCAGCGTGCACAAACGGGGTCTTCCGCGCGCCGAACCGACGGGGAGTGTGCGGCCGAGTGGTTCGAGTTTCTCGCTTCGCAAAGAAGCTGAAGCGACTCGAGATCTTCTCTTACTAGAGTTTTCCGCGGATGGGGTGCCACCAGTGGTTGATTTGTGTGAGGTCACAGTTGGATATGAGGGCAAATTGTAGGCGCAGGGGAACAAGGAGAGATTTCGAGCCACCATGCTTGGCAATGTGCATCGACTATACGATACATTGCGTTTGAATGAAAAAATTCCGAGTCGCGTGGTGTGAGGAATGAGATTCCCCATTGAGTGACTGATAGCGTCGATCGCGGAAGCTGGCGTTGCAGTGTGGTTTGGTGGTTGGGCTCGTGGTAATTTCTGAAGACGTTCGGATTGGTGGGAGAGTGAACGAAATGGGTAACAAGAGTGGGAATCGTTCGTTGCTTAGCGAAGCACTACGTCACGTGTGATGTCATTTGAGAGCTTCGACGAAATGACTTGACACAACTGGCCACTCACCACACGTCGCTGACGTGGAGTGACAGCCTGTCATGTAAAAGAAAGTGAAGGCGAGGATGCTGGAGTAGTGCAGCTGCTTCATCGTGTTCAGATCTTTCGTCATAAGAACCTCAACTCTTTGTGGTTCCCAAAGTTCCCAGTCACGTGGTGTAGAAACAGCTAGTGCGAAGGTGCCAGCAGGAAGAAAAATAATAATATATAACAGCCAATCATCGCTGGAGATATTGGCTGATACGGGCATACTCTGGAGTAAACTCGGCCGCCCACTGTCTGTGCGTGTTGTTCTAATATGTGACACAATTGACATTATTTGAGGCCTCAGGGTCTGAAGGTACAAGTTATAATCGGAGAATAATCTCATCTTGAACGTTGCCAGCAACGTCTATAATTAAAAACGAGTGTATCTAGCTGTAAAAAAGCTTTGTAAAAACTCGCTCGACACGTCACTGGTGAAGTAGTTGGTACGAAACTTTCAAAAAGATCGCTCGGCCACGCACATTTATACTCAATGTTATCAGCCTCTGATAAATTTCACCGTTTTATACATTTGACTTGAAAACCATATACCGTCGTCTGAATGAATCAGTGTTGCCAGGCAAAATGAAAGGGTGACGTTTGCTGGCTGCAAGGCTTGGGCTAGTTCCGAAGCATGGGCCTTACTACTCTGGTACGGCGATGCACGGTCTGACAAACGTTGGAGCATGAAGTTTCGAAGCCCTGGCGATGGCGACGAGTCCATTGAATATTGCTGCGCTCAGTGAAACAAGGTTTGCCACTAGCCATTGATTTTCTCCGTAAATCACACCACACCGCACCTCGTTGTATCGAATGCAAAACTCCATTTAAAAAAAAAAGGAATGAAATAACTCCACAAGAAAAATATATTATTCGTGCATGTTTGCTTGCCATTGGCAACTGTCATTTTCAACGTGAGTGTTTTGAAGCTTTTCATTTTCCCATTACCCTTCCAACTCGCAGATCCCCCGCTCCTAATCATCCCATGCATCATCTGCCACCCCCTCCACCTTATCCGGTCCTGCTTGAGCCACAATCATGTGCTTGTATTTCTGATCCACTATCTTCACTGCTGTTGCCCCTATCATCGTCACATTTGCGGCTGTTGCTGCCCGATTTTCCCGGAACGCTGCTGCCTCCTCCTTCTCCTTCCTCCTTGCAGCCTGAGAGATGACGGGGAAGACAAGGCATGAGAATTGTGAGATGATGAGGCACAAGGGGCGAAGGGCTGAAAAACAAGGTGGGATACAGGGAAAGCAAAGGCAGTTGGGGATGCAGGGAAAATGGATTGAGGCGTTTCTTTTTTTAACCTACCTTACGTTATCCCTCACCCTACCACCTCAACACACCATGGTGTTACCTGCCTGCCTCTGCCTCACACAGGGATTATTGATCCAAGCTACCAGAAACTGAAAGAAGAGTGGAGAAGTAGTCAGTCCAGGGCAGTGTAGCATTGTTGCCATACCTTGCCAGTCGCGAACGCCATTGTGTTGCCTGCCTCTGCCTCTGACAGTGCTTTCTTGATCTGAGCCACCAGAAACTGGGAAGAAGAATGGGAGGCCGAAGAAGAACAAGAAACGGGTTTCAACACAGCAAACGGAGTAAAAAAAAGTAGTAGGACGAGTGTACAGAAAGTGATACTGTTAAGACAGAAGGCTGCATGCAAGACGCATGCTGCATAACCCATCACCATTCCCCCATCACCATTCCCCCATCACCATGCCCCCATCACCATGCGCCCATCACCAAGCACCCATCACCATGCCCCCATCACCATGCACCCATCAACATGCGCCCATCACCATTCCCCCATCACCATGCACCCATCACCATGCGCCCATCACCATGCGCCCATCACCATGCGCCCATCACCATGCGCCCATCATCATACACCCCATCTCACCGCATCCCTATCAGTGTAGAAGGAAACGGCTCGCCCAGACGCCCCTGCTCGCCCTGTTCGCCCGATGCGGTGCACATAGTCCTCTAGGGCCTGTGTGGGGAGGTGGGGGAGATGTGTATGGCAAGAGACAACTTTCATCATTTTCATGAGGCCTAAGGTATGGGGAATGAGGCATGGGGCATGGCGCATGGGGGAATGAGGCATGGGCATGGCGCATGGGGGAATGAGGCATGGGGCATGGCGCATGGGGGAATGAATGAGGCATGGGGCATGGCGCATGGGGGAATGAGGCATGGGGCATGCAGCAGAGGGCAAGCAAGGGGTCACCTTGGGGAGGTCCATGTTGACAACGAGCGCCACTCCTGACACATCCAGCCCTCTTGATGCCACGTCCGTTGCCACCTGCAGGAATGGATGAGCACGTGGTTGGCATGAGCATGAGCTGTCAGTAACGGACAGCTGGGCTACGGAGGCCTTACTTCCATCAACATCCAGCCCTCTTGATGCCACGTCCGTTGCCACCTGCAGGAATGAACACGTGGTTGGCATGAGCACCCAGCGCCCAACACCAACAAGGGTATTCAGCGGTGTTTTTTATGGGAAGAACAGCAGGAAGTTATCAAGAGCAACAAGAAGTTGGAATCCAGGAACAAGCTGAGAAAGAAGCGCTCAGCATACATCCAGCATCCAGGGCTGAGCACTCACGAGGATGTTGATGGTATTCTTGAGCAAGTCCAGCAGCGCCGTCTCTCTCTCTCTCTGGCTTCAAACCCAGCAACAAAACCAGAAACAAGCCCTCAGCACCCAGCCCCCACCATCCAGCCCACAGCATCCAGCCCTGAGGGCACAGCCCCCTGGCACTTACAAGGATGTTGATGGTGTTTTTGCGGAAGTCCAGCAGAGCTGCCTCTCTCTCCCCCTGGCACTTACAAGGATGTTGATGGTGTTTTTGCGGAAGTCCAGCAGAGCCGCCTCTCTCTCCCCCTGGCACTTACAAGGATGTTGATGGTGTTTTTGCGGAAGTCCAGCAGAGCCGCCTCTCTCTCCCCCTGGCACTTACAAGGATGTTGATGGTGTTTTTGCGGAAGTCCAGCAGAGCCGCCTCTCTCTCCCCCTGGCTGCGCCCCCCATGCAGTGCTGCTGCCTTGAGCCCCTGTGCTGTCAGCGCCTCGCACACCTCGTCACACTTCACCTGGTGAGGGCAAGAACAAGCGGGAGAGAGACAAGCGGATGGTGGGTCGTTGGGAATATTTGCTGCCTTGAGGCCCGGTGTTGTCAGCGCGTAGCACACCTCGTCACACTTCAACATGTTGCTGTTGTTGAGAGGTGACAGTGGGATAGGATACGAAGGGTTGAGAATACAGGAGAGGAACAGACGGAGAGAACAGTAAAGGGCGTTTGAAAGGAGTGAGAGGGTTAGGGCGGATTCATTGTTGGCACAGATCAGCTTCTGAAAGAAACAAGCAAAGCCAATTGGCAAAGGGGTGAAGAATGAGCTGGCTGTACATTGCTAGGCAGAAAATGTGCTCAGCACACAGGAACTCTCAGGCTCAGCTCAACCACGAGTCCTAGATTTGAGGCGCCTCAGAACTAGGAGCTGGTTGTACATTGCAATCAGAAAATATGCTCAGCGCGCAAGAACTCTCAGGTTCAGCTCAACCACGAGCCCTTTATGCTCACCGTGCACACCACAAGCATGATGTGAAGTGACAGCATACGAGTAAGTCTAGCTTCAACAAAAAAGCACCCTCGGCTCGAAGACTATCCCCTGCAGCTCACCTTGCGCTCCACAAACACGATGGTGAGTGGCAGAGGCTGCTGCCCGCTCTCTGCAGCGGCCATCTCCTCTACCAGCAGCTGCAGCAGCCGATCCACCTTGTCCTTCTCTGCCACCTTCTCCAGCGACTGGGTCACGTTCTGCGTGGGGCTGCTCACGCGCCCCACCTTGACGCGCACGGGCGTCTTGAGGTACTCCTGCGCCAGCGCCTCTATCTCCTCCGGCATTGTGGCTGAGAACAGCAGCGTCTGGTGCTGCTTTGGCAGGTTCGACATGATCTGCAGCGGGGCGGGGAGGGAGGGTGGTGGGGTGTAAGACAGGGGGAGAGGACGGGGGAGGCATGGGTAGCGCCCCACCTTGACGCGCACAGGCACTCCTGGACCAACCGGAGACACCTAAGGAGCCACCTTGACGCGCACGGGCGTCTTGAGGTACTCCTGCGCCAGCGCCTCTATCTCCTCCGGCATGGTCGCCGAGAACAGCAGCGTCTGGTGCTGCTTCGGCAGGTTCGACATGATCTGTGGGGGGGAGGAGGGGTAGGGAAATGTGGGGTTGGGAAATGTGGGGTAGGGAAATGTGGGGTAGGGAAATGTGGGGTAGGGAAATGTGGGGTTTGGAAATGTGGGGTAGGGAAATGTGGGGTTTGGAAATGTGGGGTTTGGAAATGTGGGGTAGGGAAATGTGGGGTAGGGAAATGTGGGGTAGTGGAA